CTCGTTACACGCATATTTCGATATGTTTTCTTTTTAATTAAAATAATTTGAAATAAACGATAGCTGAAAACTTGCAATAGGGTAAATATGTGAATTCTACCCTTTTTTCAATCTACTGAATATAAATATAGCCGGCGAGGTGGGTGGTGTAATATATATATATATATATATACACGTTTTGCACATAACGCATAAACGGATATAGCATGAATTTCTATAGCCACGCGTTTCACTTCGTAGATTGAATGAGACTTTTCAATGATAAGGCAAAGAAGTAGGCAAACGAACGAGCAAATCCTCACGACATTTGTTTAATTAAAAGCCAACTTTAAAAAGGAAGCTTTACAGTTTCTTAATTTTTATTATATATTTTCTTTAAACTCGACCAAATCGACACTGCAATGCACTTCAAATTTTATTCAACGTATAACTAAGAAGAAATCGAATTTGTAACCGACAGGTAATGATCATTGTTCAATAGCATTTAGCAAATGTCTTACAAAATTGTTAGATCATCCATTATTAAAGAATGAATATATTTGAGGATTTGCGATTAAAAACGCTATGTGAGAGCAAGTGAGATTAAGAATGAATGAATGTACAATGACAATTTGAAGATTTCTATGAAAGATGAATTCCAATTGCTAAAATCGTGAGAGGCGGTAAACTTACTTAAAAAAATACTGGGCTCATTATAAAAAAACCGTACTAGCAAAGCGATAAAGCATATAGATAATTTTGGCGAGTTATATTGTAAGCCTCGATTTGAAGTCACGTCGTATTTATTTTTAAAAATTCTGTTATCGACGCCGTTGTCATGATTCATCTCACGCACTTTACCATTAAAACAATGGATTTTGTGAATCATTAACCTTTCCGAACAGATTCAGCCGCACAATTTGTTTGTAATATGTTTCCATTATTGGTTGATCAAGTTGTTGCGCAACCATTCGATATGTTTGCGCATAAAAAAAAGGATATATTGAATATTTTTTTTTTTTTTTTCTTACAAATCTACGAACCAAACAAGTTTAAATGTTTTTACGTAGCTTTTAAGATCATATATATGTTATCATTATAAATTAAAACATGAAATCCCTTATTGGCAAAGTTTTGGAATAATTTGTCCATCTCTCATAGTGATGGAGATTTGTCTTTGTATCAGTATCAGTGAGTTTGCGATATTCTGCTTCTTGAATGATAATACGAAAAAGAACTAAGACTTTAAAATTTTGAAAATGCTTTCTTAAAAAATTTTTGAAAAATTTGAACTTTTCAAAAACAAGTAAGACAACTATAGTCGGGCAAGGCCAACTATTAGATACCCTATGCCATTTTACTTAATATAATCACTCATAGAATTTCATGATAATACACGAAAAGTTATACGTTATCTTTATGGAAAGGCATACTTTTCATATTAAAGAATGGTCAAGATAGCCATTACAGTGATAAACTTAATTTATTTATTCAAGATATAATTATTTTTATTTTGCTTTTGTCGCAAACAACTAGAAATTAGATTTTGTCGTCCATGGAAGTATTCGATTTTCGCGTGAGTTCCTATATTGGTGGTATCTAAAAATGGATCTATTCCATTCATATTCTCCATGGTTACTTTTAATGTTGCGTTGCTACTACTTAGACCCTTTTCGGCAAATAAGATTTAATATTTGATAATAAACCTTGACCAGCGAACAGATCTACTTGATCCAAATTTGATACAGTCAAGGTCAAATTACTTTTGTGAACTAATTTTTATAATAAAATATTTGCGATGTAAAGACTTATTTTTCATTGAAACACTTCTATGGGATGAAATCCAAAAAATCGATTTATTCGGTCCGAATTCGGTAGGAATAATTTTTATTCCAAACTTTTATTATGAGTAAATTTTCATCAGGAAATATTGAAAATTATGCCCCCGTACCATGTAAAGATTCACTTTCTATAAGAAGGATTATATGACAGGTTCACGAAAATTATTCCATCCGAAACAAATTCTTCACACTAGAATACAGAAACACTATTATTTAGTGATTTTTGTCGCGAAATTCTGAAAATGAAAATATTTTTTCATTTAACAAATTTTTAAAATAAGCTGTATATGAGGGCTGATTCAGTTCGAACCACTTTTAATTACAATCGTCCTTCGGCCAAAACATGTGAGTTGGCCGGATTTCATTATAATATCTTAAAAAAATTGCGGCCTGTAGACTGAACAAAAGGAAACAAGACATACAGTCGGACAGACAAGATGAGGTCGATTCACGAAGTAATTCTGAATTGATCGTTATAATGAAAGGTGCGTCTAGTTCAAGTTTTTCTTAGTATTACATACGTACACAAAAAAATAGGGTGAAATGAAAGTGTATATTCGGTTGTGACCAATCTTTTATACCTACCATGTTTGTTTTTTTTTTTAAGAAAAACTAAAAAAAAAATTCAATTTTCCTATTGTTTTTTTTCAATTTTTGGCTTTTTCAATATTATCCTTTTA